ATAGAAAAAGTTTCTAAATTATCTGAGGTACCAGGTGTCAATTTGCACTTAAGATTAAGAAATTGTGTATAGACTTCATTCCTTAGTTCTTCAGGTCTGCAAAAAAATAAACAGGAAGTAAATAATTGATCAAAAAAAACAATTGTATAAATTGTGTACAATATGTAACATAATTTAATTAGATAATGTAATAAAACTCATATCTTAATATATATATAAATTGATTAAATTTCATGATTGATTCACCAAGAATCATTATAATATCAAAAATAGTGATAATTGATTAGAATTTAATTATTTTGCATAATGAAAGCGTTATATTTACACATAAATTGATTAAAAATATTCGATATTTCGTTTTTAATAATCTTACATTAAAGTTTCATTAAATTTAAAGAAAAAAATTATTCTTTTAAAGAAAAAATGTTATTCTATTATAATAAATAAAAATATCAGTGCTCTGCAGTGATCTGGGTGCGACCCGAAAGATCCACACGACCAACTTTCCAGTGAAAAAAATGAAGAAACAATTCGAATAGAACCCGTTTTCATTCCTTATAACAAATGGAATTGTTATAAACGAAATGAGTCTGTTTTTATTCATTTGATATGGTTAGTTACTTTATTTCAGTAAAAGAAAAAATTTCGCGTCGAAGAATTCGAATATACCTCATAGATCCTTTTTTTCATTATTTTCAACAAATTTCATTGTTATATAATTCTAAGTTACATAATTACGCGTCGAATGCAATTGGTCCCACATCGATATCATTTTTTGTTCTCGAGATAATCGAGGCGAAAAATAATTCCGAACGCACATACGCACACACACATAACGTTAATATTTTATAGTATGTATGGTAGTTCTTCCGTCGGTAATTATTTTTCCTGGCGTATTGAAGTTTGCTAATGCAAAAGATATATCACGACTAATTTGACTACTATTTGATAGATTCTTAGATTCCGCAAGAATCTCTAAGTTTCTCATAATTTGAAAGAATATAAAGGACTTTAAATAATTTAAATTTAAAGCCACAATATTGCCACAAGGAATATGAACAATAATTAATTCAGTAAAATCAAATTCATTTTGATTTTTAAGATTCCAATGTCAATAATAATTTTTGATTTAAGCTTTTTTATTTGATTTCCGGAAGAATAGGTTGCACTGTACACTAATCGAAATAATTTGTTATGTCACTCAGTTAACTTCACCTTGCACTTCAATTTTGACAGTTGTAGGTGGCGCGATGGTACATAATGGTGATAATTTTCATTGAAACGCGAATTAATCCATCAAACTTTAATGATTTTTCTCGCGAAAACTAGCAATTTGCGAATATAAGTTCACATATCAGATCGTTTTTATTTATTTTCTTACATAACATATATCCGGCTTTGCTACAAGTTACAGGACACCTTGTATTAGTTTTTCATTCTGCTTCAATTCCGGTCCCTCAGAGAGAACCACTTTCTGTCTTTATGCTCCTCCCATATATGTAATACTCCTATATTGCTAGTCGGTATAGGGAGGGAGACTTAAGCATTACGGTGCAGACATATATGCGTTTGTCTCACTTATTATACGCTGCGACTTGTGCGCATGATCGTGAATGGAGCGTGCGCATTAGATAGCATTTCAATTTGTACAAGGAATGAGATAGCATCCTTTGCAAATAGAATAGCGTCATTTTGCATATAAAATAGCGTCTGTTTTACATGCTACATCCAATTTTTTATATATTTTAATTGACTTCATAAATAATCAATTCCCCATTTTTTCTAAAATGCCTGTTTCAAATATGTTGTTCATTTGAATGAAGCTGCTAATAAGAAGTAGAATATGCAAACTTCATTTAAAAAAAATTAAATAAAATCTTTTTTCATTAACAGTGTCATAGAGAATATAATTATTATTATTATATTCTCCATGAACAGTGTGGCCTCCTTATTATATTCTCCATGCCCTTACGTCACGACGAGGCACTACCGTGTCTCTATACAAATTATAAGATGATTTTTGCACGTTATAATTTTTAAATTTACAATTTTTTTCTTATTATAACATAAACATGAGCTGAAATTAAGAATTTTCTCGGAAAGCGATCGTTGACTTTCGATTAAGCATACGACGAAGTATTATCATTGCCTTATTGATAATATACGAAATTAAAAAAATTTCGTTGCGCAAAAATTGAGTAAAATGAGAGTTTATTCGTGGAGCAATCATACGTTTTTTTTTATCAAGTTGGTGATCAGAATTTTTAAGTACTATTCTCTCACTAACAGATTATAAAGTTGGTAACAAGTTAATTTTGCTCGAGCGCGAATATACAAATAATTAAAATATTTTCTGAACAGATTTATTTTTTTTAATATTCCTTTTCAGTTGATATGTACAAAAAATGGTAAAATCTCATCAAAAACAGCCCCCTCCTTCTGGGCTGTACAAAAATGTGCGCCAAACATAAATAACGACAATGATGAAATTACAAAAAGTCCTAAAATTATTAAACGCCAATTATTTAAATCTACAAATCAACAATATTTAAAATCAATTATTTTCTTCGGTTTTTTTTTTGAAAAAAAATTTAGTACGTTTAATGACACAATAAACGTAACAACCAAAAACTTGGCGTGACTGTTATTTATTAATTGGCTTAAATATTTTCAATATTTTCACAATTTCATGCTTCTATAAAACCTTAACAGTCATGCCAAGTTTTTGGTTGTTATGTTTATTGTGTCATTAAACGTACTAAATTTTTTTTAAAAAAAAAAACCGAAAAAAATAATTGATTTTAAATATTGTTGATTCGTAGATTTAAATAATTGGCGTTTAATGATTTTAGAAGTTTTTGTAATTTCATCATTGTCGTTATTTATGTTTGGCGCACATTTTTGTACAGCCCAGAAGGAGGGGGCTGTTTTTGATGAGATTTATAATACATACAGAAAATGGCGGGAGGAAAATCAACAGTCTCTATCAAGCTCAGAGGAGAATAATTTAATTGTTTATTTTGTGTCGATAAAAATAAAACTAAAACCACCAACTTTGTGGAGCATACATAGTATTCTAAAGAAAACTTTAAGTGTAAAAGACAATATAAAAATTGATAATATTTGTAACCTAAAAAGTTTGTTACAAATTAATTCCAATGGTTATAAACCGAAGAAAGCATTTGTGTTAAGATGGGACCAAATAGAGAAATTCATGAACGACACTCCAAACTTCGATTATTTAGCCATGAAGGTAATTATTATTGACATATTTACTTTTCTAATTATACTATGCTCGTTATACTCGGTTTTATTACATTGGTTTCAATTTTCGTAGGTCATACTTATATTTGGTGTCTGTGGCTGTATGAGGTGTAATGAGATAACAAATATGAAAGTTCAAGATGTAGAAGATTTAGGCAGAAATAGATATTTAGTGTCGATCGTCAATAATAAGAACGCGTACCCAGGATAATTCATTATTGAGAGTCTTTTTTACGAAAGTCTTAAAAATATATTTCTCTGAGACCACCTAATTACTCCAGCGACAGAGTTTTCAGTAAGTATGTAAAAGGTAAATGTGAGCGTCAACCAATTGGAAGACATAAAATAGGTGAAGTGCCAGCGAATATTGCGGCTTGTTTACAACTACGAAATCCAGCATGCACCCATATTTGCATGTGCGTAAGAACTTTTCGCGGAAGAAGTAGCCAATTAATAAAATGTTTTTGCTTGTTTAAGAAAGAAATTTTTTTTTTACGAAAAAAATAATTATGTATAGATCGATAGAGAATAAAATTCTCAATCAATCTTTATATATAATTGCCACATTACAATTCATTTATGCGATGTCTTAAGCGCTTGAAACTTTTCAGGGAAAGGGTAATGTGCGATAGTAGAACTAACGCTGTGACGTCATGGTGTGAACTCAGAATGTGTCCACTAAAAATCCAGCAGATGATCCTTCTATATACATCTCTATTTTCTGGTGCAAAGACCTTACTTGATCACCATCCTTGAGTACTACTAGCGCTCATAGCAGAATAATTTCTGATGGAGTCACTTTTTAACCAAAAAAGTAGGGGAATCGGATAAGGCTGTCCTAGAGTACTGTATCTTTCGAATGGAGGATTGTATGTAGAAGACCGAAAGAATATGATTTTTCTGAAATGTAGTTTTAATGATCAGCTGGTACAACCAAAAAAAAAAAATTAGTTTAATAATTTTTGACTAACTTAAGAAAGTAAGGTTATAGAGTTGAAGATAAATGATTTATTCAACGTATTTGTTGAGAATTAATTAATTCTCAAGTTTGAATTATCAGCTGATAGGAACTTCGGTGGCTATCTTGGCACTAGGTCAATAACCAATCGACCAAATAATCAATATTTCTAATTCTAGTCACTCATTTGACTAATTTTCAGTCTCCATCTTGACCAATGAAGTTCCTGTCGCTATTCTTTTTTTGTTTTCATTTACGTATACACGCCATTCTATTTCTTTTCTTTAAAATCTTTCCTCGTCGAGTCAATTATAGTGCTAGTGTCATTCTGAAACGACAGAAACATTTAGTTTTTCATTCTACAACGCAATCAATTAATATTTCAAGACAATTCACTGCAAATTCAACTAATTGAATTAAATTCATTTTGCATTGCATTGATAGGCTAACACCACGTGCACAATCATATTTTCTTGACTTGAAAAGCGTGTTGAACTCGTGTGGGAGATTAATAATACCGAACACACCGAGTTGAGTATTTTTTAGACATTCAATTAAAATTTAGTAATTAAAATTGACATTCAGTGATCTCTAAAGACATTCATTCTTTTTATTCAGTGACAAAAAAGTTGTACAGTGTATATTGTTCATTGCTAGTGCTGAAAATAAAGATTATATATTTTTTATAAGACCTGACTTCCTAATTGCTTTGATCTATCACAATCATTTCTATCCTTAAACGGTTAGGTTATTCAAAGTTGAAATTTTTTCAACAGTATTGAATGTTAAAAATTTTTATTATTAAAAATCTTCATTTTCATGGAAATAATAATTTCTAAAATTTTCCCTAAACTTACTTCTAGTAGTGAAACCTTTTCATTTTTACGCTATTCATCTTCTCTACTTCCTCATTACTGTTACCATTTCTTATCTATTGCAAGTGCATTGTACTCAATTTATTAGTAATAAACTTTTTTCATATTTCACTATTCAGGTTTCGAGCTGGTGATGAAAATTATTGTAGTTCTAGCAAAAACCGAAAAAGTAAGGATAACTTGCCCAGTTTGTTGGGATCATCCTAAGGAAGCTAAGGAATTCTAAATTCATCCGATTATTCCATAATAATTTTTGTTTTAATCATAGTTAAAGTAATTCAGTCAATATTTAATTTCTAGTTTGTTTTTCTAATTTTAAATCAAATTTAAGTTTGAGAAATAATATCCAGTTAATTCTTTTGAATGCCTTTTTTCATTCATGGAAGTTTGGTTTAGAAGCGCGAAAAATAATGATTTATTTAATATTCAATTTTACAGTTTTTTGTAAAAAAAATTTTAATTAAAAAATTTCGTTAACATCAGTACATGGATATATAATACATTTAACTCGGTCTTGGTCTAATTTTAACAGAACTTAGCTTAATAGAGAACAATTGTTCTAATTTCATATTTTTGATTTTAAATCTATTGCAATTCTCATTGATCACTATAAAAACTCAGTGCTGATAGTATTTGATTTTATATGAAAGTATAACATGTATTGTATAGTCTTATTCAATAATATAGATTGTTTTAATTATTCCAGATATACGAGCACATCATTAATTGATATGACACTGCATCCACTGCACTGACCGCATTTTCCTTGTTCAAATGTTGAAGAATAGTATAGAGGAAGGAAGCTAAAGTTTGACAGCGTAAATGCATTTATAAGTGCATCATAAATAAATTTTTAAAGAGTTTTGAGGTAACATGACGGGCGTTTTGTCATAAGCTTTTCACTAAAAAATTCATTTATTATGCACTCACACTGACAAACTTTAGCTTCTCTCCTGCATACCATTTCTTTAACATTTTTGAATGTATTTTACATAAAAATAATAAATGAAAAAAACATAAGTTGACAAACAAATTCGAGGTCATTCCAGCTTAGAAAAGCCCAGTCTTAATGTGTAGATTTACAGTGCCTTTTAAAAAATAGTCAAATTAAGCTATGTGCCTTTTTTAAAAAGACTGCCGTTAATGATGTCTTATTGATTTTAACTTATTACACTCTAAAATATCCCATAAGTAGGAAAGTGAGACCATTGCTTACATTTATTATCTTTCGGTCTGGACATTTCTGTTTTTAAAAGAGCTCTGTAACAATGAAAAATATGTATAATCTTTCTTTTTTTTCCAAATAAATACAAATACGTTACGGACATGTTTCAACATACAATGAAATACCCAAGAATCAATGAAGACATTAAATGAACCACTAGAACCGGGTGTTATCAGGCATTTTAACAAAATATGCGACTTTATCTTCTGCTACTCGGTAGTTATGGATCCATCTTGATCCCTTTCTGAGACTTCCGTCAATTCCATCACGCCAGACTCCAGCTGGAAGATAAACCTCTCGTTGTCTGCTACCAGAATACAGTATAGGTGCGACGATCAACTCTTCACCAACAGAAAACTCATCAACAACAACATGACAAGCAGGATCCATTGGATCCAACATCCAAAGTGGTCTGATGATTGGCAATCCTGAATCTAAAGTTTCATTAGCATATTTCTTTAGCAATGGTGTCACCGTCTTCTGTCTTAATGATGTCAAGGTCTTTGTCATTTCCAAAACACTGTCATCAGCGTATTTACTAGGAAGATGCGTGAATCTGATGACTGGAAGGAATGTAGACAACTGAAGCCATCTGATGTAAAGTTCTTTGTCTGGTAAGTTTACGTGGAAATCATTGTTCGGATTATTGTCAGACATTGGCAGAGCAATGTCACCTCCAACAGCTCCTGGAAGAACAAACGGAAATCCTATCATTCCATAACTTAAAATGGTTGGAATCACAGTCTTAATAGCTTTCCATGACGAAGGAAATGGCGGCAAACTCACGAAGACTGGAGCTTTTGGCCTTGTTATTGCTGCAGATACACCTAGGACTGGAATTGATCCAATAATGGCCTTCGTAAACAGCGTTTTGTAGTGATCTGGATTCGTCAAAGGTTCTTGGCATTTGTAATAATGCGGCATATCATAAGCTGTCCCAAGGTCTAAGTAAAATGACTCGATATGATACTTTTTTAGCAAAGGCTCGAGTTTCTTCAATAGCCATGGCAGTGTTTTATTATTTGTAATGTCTAGAACTCCTGCACTGTTGCTCTGATGATAGCGAGTTAATGCTGGAATCCTTGGATCACTTCCACGCTCAGAGATAAGAAGTCGATTGGTGACGGCATCTCTGAAGTTGATAGACTCCGTAGAAATAAACGGCTGAATGGTGAAGACAATTCGAAAACCACGACGTCGAATGATGTCAATGGTTTCTTCCATGGACTTGAATCTACTTTCATCTAGAATAAAATCCCCAGTACTTGGTTGCCACTCTTCACTTAACAATACGTGTCCTTGTCTTAGAAACCCCAGAGCTATGATGTCTTCAGTGTAGTTATAAACTGTCGCTTCATTGGTTGGAGATATCTGCCAAATTGGTTCGGAAAGCAGAACATCAACTGCCCGCAATTCGTCCGGTTTCAGGCCATCCCACAAAGACTTTTCGGCTATTGACGAGTGAAGGTTCTTCATGTTGTCAGTGGCGCAGATAGAGTAATTAAGCTGTGGCAACTGAGTCAAGTGATTGATGTAAGCAAACTCATCATGCTTTGCTTGGAGACAAAACTCCTTAGTCTTGTTAGCATTTATTGAAATATACAATGGAGTTTCAGAATCAACCAGAATCGTAGCACCTCTAGAGTTGAGGAAATATCTTTTCAGAACATTTCCGAAGGGATTTCTTCGAATGTCTCCGGTAATGAATGGACTTAATTCGAGCTTGCCTTGTTCTAGTGGGTAAGCCATATTGTGAATTTGCCCACCACCGTACCAGTGACCGCGTCTTGAAGACCAATCGAAACAGTCTTTCGGATTGAAAGAAGGATTTAAACTTTGCCATGTCAAATAGTAGCAATGCATTCCTTCTCGTTTGGCATGAGTCAAATATAAACGTGAATAGTGGAGCCATTCTAAACACACAGAATCAGATTTTTGGTGGTGAGGTAGACAAGGAAAGACTCCAGTGTCGGTTGGAATGCCATTTCCTAGTCTGGCTGATACAATTTCTAGTCCTGCGCTGTTGTAGACGTGTAACAGACGCTCATTTTTATTGAACCTAACATTGAAGAAATAATTTATTTATATTTTTATAGACTATTTTGAATTTCGTGTTGAATAAAGTAGAATGGTTTACCTAAATTTTTCAAAATATGCTCGTTGAAGAACATTTTGGGTGTAGTAAATGTGTGCAAAACCCACTAGAAATATTACACAGATGAATAAAAAACCAACAAAAGCTCGCAACCTGAAAATTAACATTTCATTTCATTTTTTTTTTTTTGTTATCGATGAAATAGAATTGGAAGTTATAGTAATAGGTAATTTTTAAGTTTGATGATAATAATATAAACTCTACAAGATTAATTTTTTATATACTTTCACCCTAGTAACATAGCTCATTCACAAAAGAACATTCTTCAAAGGTATTACAAAACCTTGCAATGATCGTATAAAAGAATTGCACTATATGTGTCTTATTTTGCATTAACGTATGGATCTTGCAACAGAAGATGACAGTAGGAACTAACTGTAAATCTTACAGCAGATTCAATGCAGAAGCGGCTACAAAAAAAAACGTCAGATTTTCAGCAAAATCCACACATACATAAAATATAGGAACAACTTTTTATGTAATGAAATCAACTTTAACTTTTGTTTTGAACTTTTTTCTGTATCTCTTATAGTTAATTGTATGCAAAATGAATATGAATATAAGGAATCGATTTTTACGAGAGCTTTTACATTGTACCAACATCATTGACTTCCTAGTAGGAAATTATAGTAATGGGTCTGATTCTGCAAATCCTAAATATCTTCACGTTTTCAGGTCCCCAGAATCGGATACGACCGTTTTCCAGTAAACATATGTGCGTGTGTATGTATGCGCGTATGTTTATACGTGCGTTTGAAATAACGTAACCTAGAACTGATTAGTTCTAACAACATCAGTCCAGTCATTTTTTGTACAGAATGAAAGAACTGGAAAAAATGGTGAACCATATGAATTTTATACTTTATAAATTATACCATTTTCTAGACCAAATTTCGAGATCTTCTAGAAAATATAAATATTAAATGTTTAAAATAATTGTATAGGAATATGATGATAATATTCCATCATAAAAAAAATTTTTGAAAAACGAAATCAGCGGTGAAAAAATTTTAAACTTGTGTTGGGATGGAGAAAATATCATTGTGAACGATATAGTTAACTAGAGGTCTGGGTATGACTGGTTTACCCAAGCTGCGTGGCCCCCGGATTTACATAAATGTTTCTGTCCTTTAAGATATGTCGCGTAACACGGGGGCAGATTATAGTTCGTCGTGCCCCATTTCGTACTGCCCTATATGGTAGTCTGAACACGCCGAGCGCGAGACGCGTCAGCGACCGCCGACCAAAGCGGATAAAGTTGGTGCTACGGGAGGCCAAATTCCAAGCCCTGTGCCTGGGGCTGCAAAGTCAAAATATAACATGTAGGCCTAGGCACAACTGGCCAATTGAGGTCGGACTTGTAGTAATATGTCGTAAGGCCTCGGGCTTGTTACGTGTATCCCTGTGCCTGTTTCAAGGTGCAGGTATATGCGTCCCGGGAAACGCCATCGCGAAGAGAGTAGAGTTATAATTTCCCAGAGTTATGCTCTAGTAGGCGAGGTACTTAATTTCCGTCCTTCGGATGAGGGAAGCAAGGATTACCCAAGCTTCCAACTTTCCATTTAGCGCCCTCGATAAGTGAAAATTATTTTCCAATCTAAATGAAATTTCAATCAAAATCGTGTTCGTATATTTTGTTGTTATCTGTCGAATAGAATTAGTTTGAAGTTAATATCTTGTTTAGTTATCAAGATAATGACCAAAAAATTAATTTGCAATCTTTTTGTTATCTTATTAATTTTTTTGTTATAAAAAAAAAAACTGGTGGTTTAATTGTAATAAAAACTGTATCAGTACATCTTTTCACTGTTATCTTTCGAATAGAATTGATTTGGAATAAATATCTTGCTTGGTTTTTAAGCTATCGTTGGAGAAAAATGCTTCACTACCGTACAAACAAACAAATAAACCAACATACAGACGCACACCCAGGCATTATCTTGAAAATGATGAATTCGAACTTTGCTGATCTTGACATAAAGAAATTCGTTAAAATTGCTAATTTGATAAACCGGACCCATTACAATAACTTCCAAATGAGACGTTAATAATATAAAATTGTGTTTTTAACAATTAAACATTTTTAATAACATTATTAATAATCATGATAATATTTCAATAAAAAATTTTAATTTATTATAAACAATAAAAATAAGGATCAATGCTATATATTTAAGTTCTTCACGGAGAAAAATCAGTCAGTAAGTTTGACTGCAGAAAATCAGTTATTGTTACTGTTTTCGTCATCCCATGAAACTTCAAATGTCAGTAAAAAAAGACCGTCACTCTGTCAGTACGTGATTGAAATGAATTTAATGAACAAAGAAGTAATTTTTATTACTGAAGAAACTAATATTTACATTAATTAAAGCTAATTTTTCTAACATTATTCAACCAGCTCAAATAGTAAGTTTTACTGATTAAATATATATATTTTATACTTCTAACGAACAATACGAAGCTCCCTCCCATGTTCTGTGTAGCAGAGTTACTAGAGTCCTCAATGAGTCCTAAAGTAATATTAGCCGACTAGTTTTCTCCATGTTCTGACGCGTGATTTTGTCTTTTACCAAAAAAAAGTTACTAATCGTATGATATAAATGGAAACACACTCCTTCGGTTTATAACAATTTTATCTGTTATAAACAATTGGAAATGGGTATTTGAGCTTTTCTTACGGAAATTTTCTCTTACTACTAAAGCGAAGGTACTGATTATGTATCATGATTAACAACGGTTGCTTTTTCGATAACAATTAAATTTTCGTAAAAGAACAGAAATTTGATCTAATGATGAATTTTAAATTTTCACTAGAAAGTTGGTCGTGTGGACCTTTCAGGCCGCACTCAGACCACTGTAGAGCACTGATATTTATTATTTTGCAGTTATACAAAGAAAGATACAGAAAAAAGTGCCTGAAATTTTCTTATTTAAAATTGTAAGATCTCCAGATTTATTCAAAATTTTTTTCAGTATTACTCGTAATTTTCTCTTCCAAATTTTTGTTAACTGTACTGAAGTTGGTCTTTGTTTTTTAAAAAAAATTACTCTTTTTTCCTGTCCTTAATGATACCACAAACTACAGTAACAAATCTTGCAGTATAAAGTCAAATTTTGGGTTAGTTTGAACTTGAATTTAATTATAAGTTTTTAAATCAATTATTTTTTTCTTTTCAATCAATAATGAATGTTGAGTCTACGTTCGAAACATTTTTAAGACAAATAAAAATGCATGAAGATAAGTATATTTGGTCGTAGAACTTTTCACTGTGGTTGATGGTAATTTCAGGCCCAAGTCAATGGAAAATTTTTTTCTCTCTTGTATGAAAAACCCGAAAAAAAATTTACTATGGTTCGTAGCAGAAATTCACAACGATTAAAGAGTTTCTTTAATTGTATTTTATTAAATTTACTGAAACATTTGAGATAATTCGCCAGTACGAAAAATCAATCGTAATTTTTCATGCAATAATTTTTCCATGAGTAACTACACTCTACCTGTAATCAGCATTTTGTCGTTTTTTACTATTCCGAAGTGCTTGTGGTATCGTCAACTGTAATTTTTCTTTCAACAAACTACTAATGCTGTTGACACTCGTAATAGTCGAATTCGGGCTTTGAATATCACCGATTTCAGCTGGGTCGTTTGCATGTTTTTGGCTCATTTGAGAAATCACCTTACTTTTACGTCGGGGGGGTGCTTGAAGAGGTATTCTGTAACAAAAATTCAATTATTTAAACACATAAATTGCTACTAGATCAAAAAAATATAGTAAGAATTAATTTAAATCGATATAGATCGATGAAAAAAAACGTTAGTTGAGAAAATTTTATATTGAAACGTTCATTTTAGCATAGAAATTGTTTTAACCAGAATGATGTTGAAACATTTCTATACAGGCGCAGAAAAATTTAAAGCAATAAAATTGTTAAGAACGTTCTGCATTTGTGCGGTAAATTATGATAAAATAATGAAACTGTAGCATATTTATCGGACTAATATGGTAAAACGCCATTTAATACTGCAATTATAGAATTCTTTCAAAGGATTCTTTCGGTCAAAGGAACTACGTTAATGATACTGAAACTAGTAAACACTTATTTCTATGACACACAATGCTTGAAAATGAAAGTTTATTTTCAAATATCGTAGAAAATAACGAACAAAATGAATTATACATTTTAAAAATTTTCGAATAACTTTTAACCATTATTCCATTTTGTTTTCTATTTGTTGATCCACAATTTAATGTAATTTTTATTCAACAATTTTTTTAGTGTACTCCTTTACGAAAAAACGACTATTAATCCTCCACAATATTTATCCACCATTTATTTTACTTTTTATCCAAACATTTGATTTGATAACTCTCAATATATATATCACTAACAATCAAGCACTTGTATTACCTTTGCAAAGAAACAGCACTCCCCACATCGTACCGCGGTATCATGTCGTAATTTACATAAAAATCACGCTCAACTGGTTCAATTTATATAACTTTTCAATAAAATATAATAAAAAAATACTCTAATCAATAAAGGATGACAAAAATATTTCATCAACGATCAACAGTATCGTCGATATGTCGACTAAAATCAAGTCAAAAGTATCATGACCTTGTCTGACAATTCAAATAACGAATCAAAGCAGAATAAAAATGATGATAACCCTGATATTGATATGAAAAATCTCAATGAAATAATACTTAATGTGTGTGAATCATTTACATAACTAACATGTTTCTACCAACATTTTTTTCTCTTTTTTTAGTGTGCTGTCGTCTGAAAAAATACGAATTAGTACATTTTCACACTTTCAAGTGACAGTTAAAAACAAATCAACCAATCAAATAACCTTAAATTATTCCAACGTACCTGGACACTTTTATTTAAATTAAAAAAATCAATAAAAACCGTTGAATATAATGTTGTCAGATATATATTTGTTTTATCAGTGATGTCGAATTATTTGCTGAGAGATAAATTCTGTGATAGCCGTAGAGAAGAGTATGTGTTAAATGAAGAGTTGAGAATAGTTTAGTTGATTAAAAGTGTTTGTCTTCTGTTTAATTTTACTTCGTCAAGCCTTGAAAATATTGTACGTACTGAATTGAGTTTCAATGATGCCGCGACCAAATATCGTTAATATGTGCACTATTGGATTATGTGAATAACAACAAATACATTTACATTGGCAGACATAGCTATCATGATAACGTCTAGTGATTACAGGTAACTTTTCAGTCTTATTTTCATCCTATTTTTAACTCAATTGTTTCTCAAGTTTGATTTCTATAAATGCTGGAAGAATTCAGCTCACATGAAAAACAGATTCACGCTTATGTGATTTAGTAAATGACTATTTTATGAAGATTGTTAGAATTGAAAAATAAATAATATTAATCGAGAAAGAATCAGAATGAGAATATTCTTTGTGACGTAATAACTTGTTCTGTTTTGAAATCGACTGACCTTGACTTTCATTTAAAAGTCTACAACCTCACATATTTAAATATCTCAAGGTTATAAAAATGATTGTACTTTCATGCTATCTACTATTCTGATGCTAATCATAATCAAGAATAATTTGTTTCGTTATTTACTTGGACATTTCTTCATCATTTCCATCTTCTTCTGTTTCAGAATCCAAACTACTTCCGTTGGGAGTAGACCCACTGTTGCTGAATGTCACACTGCTGTCACTGTCACTTAATGTGAATTTTGACGTCATTGTTTTTTATTTATTTTTGTTCATACAAATAACATATCAATACGATTCTAAAAGGTATTTTACTGTTCGGTTACTTCATTTATTTATGTTTATATATTTAATTTATTGTATGTTGTTCTTTATTTTAGATTCGATTAATGATCATTTTTTATGTTAAATATACAACTGATTATCACTGAGCTGAAACCTGTACTATGGTCTCAAATCCATGAGAAAAGAGAAGAAATGATTGGATAATGTGTTACGTCGTCAAGAGTGGGAGCTTACTCATTAGCTTTTATTACGATCATTTGAACTATATGCTTTGGTGTACAGAAGATTTTAAGATTACTTTCAATTCTCATAGAATTGTATGAATATGCTCACATTTAGTTACTAACAAATTAATGACCAAGCATTAAATTGAACAAATCATGAAGAAGTAAAATTTATCGTTTTTTTAATTGAGATATTAATTTATAGATGAATAAAAAAAATCGAAGTGTCAGAATATTATTCGGTGATATTCAGAGTTTAGTCAACAAAAATGTAAAATAATAATTTTTCAGGAAAAAAACGTCAGAAAATATTTAATGGGTTGTTAGAAATATTAAGTTATAATAAAACTTCGTAGTACTTCCATCTTGAGTGAGACTACACGCAGAGAAATGTATAGTAAAAATTACCCTGAATTTTATAGTAATTTGGTGACACTGCAGGGTGAGAGTAAAAATTACTGTGCATATTCTAAAAATTACCATACTGCATACTAATTTTTAGGGTAAAATTAGGGTAAAAATTACTATGCAATATGGTAATTTTTAGAATGTGCACAGCAATTTTTACAATGTGTATAGTAATTTTTACCCTCACCCTGTAGTGTCACCAAATTACTATAAAATTCAGGGTAATTTTTACTATACATTTCTCTGCGTGTACGTTAAGTGTTTTGTATTTATCTTGAAAACTATGAGATGTAATAAAATAAAGTTTGAATAAAAAATAAAGGTCATTAAATTTTCCATACGAAAAGTCCATGATATCATTATTCTTTTTTTTCTATCTGTAATAGTTTCACCGCAAATTGATGATAAAGATTATAAAATACTAGAAAATATAAAAAAATTTTATTAACTTCCCATTAGGAAGTTATTGTAATTGGGTCAATTGGTGAAATTTGAATTTTCATTAAATCTCCACGTTTAAAGATATTTGCAAGCATACTGACATATTTTTAGAATGATGTGTGTGTACGTATGTATGTATGTATGTACGGACGTCAGCATTTTTTTCGTTTTCGATATCTTAAGAACGGATCAAGATGTCAACTTGAACCAAAATTAATTCGAAAGATATTATTATAAAGATCTGAAAGAAATTTTAACAAATTGGATAAAGCCGTTTTTTTTTTTATAACAAAACAACTAATAAAAAAATGAAAAGATTAGCTATTAAAAATACTTTTAAGCCAAACAATAACAATTTCATTTGAAAATTAAGTCGATATTGACTAGACATTATTGTTCACAACCAAATATGACTCTTGACAATTACGCATTGTTTATAATAATATAAATTTGGTGTAAACAATTAAAAATTGTATTTATTGAATGAGTAATGTGTATATCACATGTATTTGGATGTTTTCAACAAACATTGAGTATAATTATTTAAATTTGTTATAAAGTAGATCGCTCAAGATGGTAATTTAAAATAGTGGAAGCAGCCGCCAACTAGTAATTGTGCGCCAAATTTAAATGACGAGGACGATAATCTGTGTTCTTAAAATGCTATTATCGTAAATGTACATTATTTGAAAAATTACAAAAAAGCGTGAATTCATCGAATGCCAAGTATTATATTCCGAATATTAGTCACATTTATAAAGTAAAAGAGATTAATTTTATTTGAAATAGTTTTTAATTGTTTAGAAAATTTAAAAATCATTTTTGATACTTAGAAAAAAAGGTACCTTAAAAAACATGTGAAAAAGTAAAAATACATTGTGTTAAAAATTAAAAAACATAAAAAAAACACATCAAAATAGATTTAGTAATTTTAATTGTAATATTTTGAAACTTGAAACACTTGGCGTGGCTATTACGTTTTTTTAAATAAATTAAAAATTAAAGAACCCGATTATAACATACATAACCTAAAATTTGTTATAAAAAAGTCATGCAAAGTTATTGTGCAATTCGTGTAAGCAGGTAATTATAAATTATATCAAT